AAAGCAAGCTCCCCGAGCTTGGGTGGTCATCGTCCACCACCCTTGAGCCTGCTTGGAAGCCAGGTTAACTTGGAGAACATGGACGGCATCCAGATGCTGTCTCCTGCCTCCCAGCAGAGGACAGGGCTCCAGACCCTTTTTTGGAGATGCTTGTATGTTCTGGAAGATTCCCTTCCTGTTTCTCCTCTTCTTTCCCTCCCAGCCAGACCTGTTCATCACCAAGCATCAGACCTGTTCATCACCAAGCATCTGTGAGGTGGAAAAGTCTTAGCCTCACATGAGCGTTGTGCAGCACAGAAGCCCCAAATCACGAGACACTTGTGTCTAAGGAGCATTTGAAATGTGGCAAGTCCACTTTGAGATGGTAGACATTAACCCATCTCAAAGTAGAAATTAACACAGCATTGCAAATCAACTATACATCAATAAAACAGACCTTTTTTTGAAAAGCGTCTGTAGACATTGCCAAATGTTTCCTGGGGGCAAAATCAGCCTGACTCAGGGAAAACCCTCAGGAAGTGGAACCTCCAGGTTTACGCTGAGAAGCTGTGCGCTGCGTGGAGATAATGACTGTGTGTGAATGTGAGCAGGGTGCTGTTAGCACCCATCCTGGAGGGCCCGAGGCTGTCTCCTCCCTGCCTCAAGGACGCATTCCTAGTGGAAAACAGCTCCGATCTCCAGAAAGGTACCCTGGAGGTCCCACATGGGTGGTATCCCCCAAAGCAGCAAGAGAATGTGCTCTGGATTCACCCAAACCAGGATTTAAACGCCAGCTCTTGGGCTCACTGTCCTACCTCTCCCACCATAGAGGGTTTAATCTGAGCAAAGGGGGAGCTCAGAAGAGGCTGCAGCCTGCGTGGAAGGCTTGTGGGGGGAGAGCCTGGTTATTCTTAGCAGTGAGTCTGGGGAGGAGGAAGTTCCTTTGAGCTGCCAGGGCTCCACAGCACCTTCCAGAGGGAGCCGCTCAACCACAGCCCTTCCTGGCCTGCCAAGTTTGGTCGGAAATTCCTTCCACCCCAGGCGGTGGGGAATGTGGGGAATGCAGGGTGGGCCTACCCAGGGCCTTCAGAGCCCCCCAGCTGAAGTTTCTCATCTCTGCTGTCAGATCAGTGGGCTGGCGTAATGGGAGCTGTTCAGACAGCCAGGCCTGGCAAGCAGGACCCCTGCGTCTGGGCGCCTGGCCCCGACTGTAGTTTTCCTTTGCCTGCCCGAATGCTTTGATTCACGCAGGGCCCAGCCCAAGGACGGTGAGAGGAGCTGAAAGGTGGTGTCCTCCACAGCAAGGCAGGAGGGAGACAGAACACTGCAGCAGCCTTGCTGAAGCTCTGGCTTTCAAAGGTGCAGGAAGGGCTAAACGCAACTGGGAAACTTGGCATTTTGATCCAAGTTGTCGCCATATGCCACTGAACAAAGACCCTCTTCTAGGATAACAGAGGGAGTAAGAACTCAGGCTCTGGACTTGGAGTACTGGGTTCAAATCCTGACTCAGTCACTAACAAGCTGTGTGGGCACTGGACAGATTATTTAACATTTCTGTGCCTCAGTTTCCTCAGCTGAGTTTTTCTCATCAGTAATCTGTTTCTCTGAGGTTGCTCTGAGGGTTAAATGAGTAGACGCAGTTCTTAGAACAGAACTTAGCATACAGAAAGTGCTCAATAAATAGTGACCCATGGGCCTGACGTACCAAAGGTATCCCATACATAAAGAGTAACCATCATGGATATGGGCTGATTTTCCTTCCGATAGGGACAGAGTAAAGGTCCAAAGTACATGATTAAATAGTTAATACCACAAGGCTTCCCTTGTAGCTCAGTCAGTAAAGAATCTGCCTGCAATGCAGGAGACCAGGGTTCGATTGCTGGGTTGGGAAGATCCCCTGGAGAAGGAAATGGCAACCCACTCCAGTATTCCTGCCTGGAGAATCCCATGGACAGAGGAGCCTGGAGGGCTGTAGTCCACGGGGTCGCAAGAGTCGGGCACGACAGAGTGACTAAACCACCACCACCAGGGGACAGTAAGTAGACAAACTACAGGACACCCCGTAAGTTAAGGATCACTCGAGAAAGCAGGTTTGTTGTTGCTCTCTTGCTCAGTCGTGTCCACCTTTTTGCGACCCCATGGACTGCAGCACGCCAGGCTTCCTTGTCCTTCAGTATCTCCCTGAGACAGTGCTCAAACTCAGGTGCATTGAGTTGATGATGCCATCCAATCATCTCATCCTCTGTCACCCCCTTCTCCTCCTACCCTCAATTTTTCCCAGCATCAGGGTCCTTTCCAACGAGCTGGCTCTTTGCATCAGGTGGGCCTGCCAGGGGCCTTCAGTGCCCCTCAAGCCAAAGTTTTGGAGCTTCAGCTTCAGCATCTTGGGAGACCCCTGTAGGTTAAGGCTCATTCAGGAAAGCAGGTTTTCTTCACCACAGAACCAAGCAGGCTTGCTTAGCAACAAACTACAGGACAGAAGCACGAGACATGCCCCAAATCAGTGAGACAATGGTGGCATGAGACCCACATCCTGCCCAGGGAACTCAGTAAGTCAGGACGTGCTCTCTACACACATAAAAAAACAGCCATTTGTGGACCTAACTTGACTACACAGAAACAAGAAAACTCTCCGGCTCAACCTGGAGGAAGAACTGATGATGAGAGCGTGACGCCTACTCAAGAAAGATAAAAGAAGTTCTCCCCTCCCCACTTTTCCTTTGATTATAAAACCGTAGCCCAGTAAGTTCTCAGGACGTGGCACTCCCTCACCTGCATGCATGCTTAGAAGTCTCACAAGGATCCTATTCTGGTAAATCACTTCCTATCTACCACTTTGCGTCTCTCTGTATTTTTTCTGTGCTAAGACATGAAGGACTAGAGCTCTTCAGAACCCCTCCCCCACCCTCCTGAAACGTCACCTAAGGGTCTCACTGCCATCCGTCCTGTTTTAGACTGTGTGTCAGGATGCCAGAAGTGAAGGAAAACACATCCGGCCTGGAATCTCTGATTCACTCCTATCGCATGCATGCTCAGTTGCTTCAGTTGTGTCCGACTCCTTGCGACCCCGTGGACTGCAGCCCACCAGGCGCCTCTGTCCATGGGGTTCTCCAGGCAAGAATACTGGAGTGGGTTGCCATGCCCTTCTCCAGGGGATCTTCCGGACCCAAGGATGGAACCTGGGTCTCCATTCGCATTGGCAGGCAGATTCTTTACCATCTGAGCCACAGGGAAGCCCTTGGGGTTAAATGAATAAGTGCATCACTCACTGAATGATGCAATGCCAAGTATACCATTAGCACACAATGCTTACTTATTGTATTATTTGTTATTAATATTTGCAAGAATTATTCATCAGTCATCAAACCATTCTGCTTCAGGCATCAGCTCTCAAAGAGGAATCAAATCCACTATTACTCTCAGGAGGTTAATTCTAAGTCTCTGTGTCCTCTCGGGGAAGGGGGAATTGTTTCCAGAAGGAAGGGGAAAGAAGAAGAATGATGCTGATAAAATAATGTCCACTCCGACTTCTAAGTCTTTGGGAACAGTTGTAGGCAGGGTGGCAGGTAAGTTGGTACTTAAAATGGGTGTGCTAAGGACGCCAGAAGCAGAGCACACATGGTTTTCTTTCTGGCAAGGTGGCAGATTGAAGCAACCACACATGTTAGTAAGTGTGCATGCTCAGTCACATCTGTCTCCTTGCGATCCCATGGACTGTAGCCAGCCAGGCTCCTCTGTCCGTGGAATTTTCCAGGCAAGAATACTGGAGTGGATTGCCGTTTTCTCCTCCCGAGCATCTTAGTAAGAGGCAGAGGCTATTTCCTGTTCTGTGAATCTGGGCCATGGCGAGTCTCTCGACCAATAGAATGTGGCAGACGTGATGTCCTGGGCCACCTGGGGCCTAGGTTGTAAGGAGCCTTGCTGAAGTAATAACCAGAACAAGCAGCAGGTCTCAGGAGGGCTGTGGACCACTTTTTATGAGACTATCCTGGAAGATAGGTGCACTCTGATTAAACAAGCTTGGCCCAGTAGACCTGACTTCTCACCTCATATCAAAGGGAGTTCCCCACCATGCATGTTAGCATTGGATGGCCCTGCAAAGTCTTGCGTTAAAGAATCCTTTCATCTCCAGTGGACCCAGAGTCACCTTGTGACACCTTTTAACATCCTCACTTGTAACTAACACTTTAGGGAATGCTAACCTAGACCCGTGGATTTAAGATCTTCACGGCAGATTTACAGCCTGGAGAAAAGGCCCCTTGTTTCTCCCCCTGACATCCTACACACTCCTAGTCTTTTTAAAACCTCCATCCATCCATGAGTGGGTGGGGCCAAGTTTGGCAATCCAGCTTCTGCAGCTGGTTCAGCTCAACAGAATTCAATGGTGACATTACAGAGAAGGAGTCATGCTGCAGGCATCTTCAGATTACCTAGACTCTCAGGAGACACCAGCTGGAGGGGAGGCCCAGAAATTGGGGGAAATACAATGCATAGTAACAATCATTCCCAAAAAAAAATGGAGAAAATAACTTGGAGATTATTGAGTGCCTGAACCCCAAAGCTATAAACAGGATGTTTGAAACCATTTCAAGCATAAAGGTCACAATCTGCAATTTAAATGGACAGCTTGTTGCCTTTTTTCTTGGTTATGGTTGGGTGCCACCAATTAGTTGAAGTGTGTGGTGGTGGGGGCAGGCACGCATGCATGTGCACGTGTGAAGGTTTTTCAAAGAGCGCATTGGGAATCAGGCTGGGTTGTTGACGGCCCCTGAGCCTGAGCCCACACAGGGGTGGGCAAATCCTTTGCTGCAGGAGAACACGCAGAACTCATACTTACACAGTGAGCGCTTTCTTACTCATGCTGGAAAAGGAAAAACATGACACAGCCTACACCCTGGATCACTCCAGCTCTCTGCAGGGGTTTTACCCTGAAGAATTAAATCATTGTAAAATCGTCTCTGGGGTGGTATTGCCGCCAGGGTCCAACCCAGCCCGATGGTGGTTATTAACTCGCACCCTATTTATCGACGCAGCAAGGGCGTTGGTGGAGGGGGCGCCGGGGGTGGGGGCGGTGGAGTCTGTTCAGCTGAAGGTTGGCGCCAGTCTTTCGAGCCTTCACTCTGTGGACAGACACGGATAGAGATCATTTCGTGGCTTGGGAAGAGGTCAGTGAGCTGACAGCCGGGAGAACCTACATGTCCTTCTCGAGGTTGGGACCCTTTCTGCCGTTCACAGGAGGGGGCTGTGACAGAGCTGGGCGAAGTGGGGCTGAATTAGGAGGATCTGTCGGTACAGGGTCTCAAACTATCAGGTGCTTGGACATTTTTGATGCTTAGGTAAACTACTAGGAGTATCACTGCCTCAACATCCACTCTGCGTGACCAAGTGAGCTGCAGGGACACTGAACTCACGCTAGCCCCTTCAACAAGTGTGTGTCCTAGACAACAATCTCTAGGGTCATGAGTCAGTGTAAGTTTTTGACATGACTCCTCCAAAGGCCCTCGTGATGAACATTTTCCCCTGCCTCCCAGGACCATTGAGGTTCACCCAAACCTCACTCTTTCTGCTTTGAATTGACAAGTCTGGCTTTAGTCTGGGAACCCCAAAGCACTCTATCTGTGGTCCTTAATAAAGTCATGTGCCCCTTACACTCTGCCCTGACCTCCCCTCATCGCCCCTTGAGTGGCTGCCTATGATCTCCAGGACCCATGAGAAACAAATGCCTCTATTTCCCTAGTGGTCCTTCCTTTTTTTCCCCTAAACTGTGTCTCAACATCCAACCCCCCAGGGTTCTATGCAGAACAAAAGTTAACTTAACAAAGTCTTATTGAAATGCAGATTATGACTTAGTAGGTCTTGGATAGAACTTGAGATTCTGCATTTCCAAGGAGCCCCCAGTGAGGCTGATGCTGTTGGTTTTAGGAATAACACTTACCAGTAAAGCTCTGGACCAGCACTGTGTGATAGAATGTTCTGGGCCAATGGCAATGTTTTCTGTCTGTGCTGTTCAATATGGTAGCCAACAGCCACCTGTGGCTACTGAGTATTTGAAATATGGCAAGTCGGACTCAAAAAAATCAATTTTAAATTTTACTTAATTTTAATTATTTTAAAGTTAAATAGCCACAGGTGACTAGTACAGTGAACTCTGTATCAGCAGGGACCATATTTTTATTTCACTTCTGTGTCCTCATCACTTAGGGGAATGCCTGGTCCACACTTTATATATATACTTATTGGCTACATTATTACATAAGGGGAGAAGGCAGTTTTAGACCATGTTTGTTACAACATTAGAGTTGTTCAGTGACAAAAACTCACCTTGAACTTGAACCTACTGAAGACTTTATTGGCTCTTATGACATAATGACTGATTTGGGGGAGGATTAGAGCCAGGAACTAATTTAACATCGTATTTTTCTCTAGCCTTTTGTCTGCATGCTAGTTCACTCCTTCAAGCTAGTCATCCTCACTGGGCTCAAACCAATTTCACCGGTAGCTCTGGACCTCTAAAGTTAGAGCCTCTGACCACATGAAATAGAGTTATTTCCCATCAATATCAATTAGAAACTCCCAAGAAAGTTTTCTGATTGGCTGAGCTTGGGTCACATGTAAATTACTGGGCTAATCACTGTGGCCAGGGCAATGGGATTCTAAGACTGGCCCAGCCAGACTCAAAGATGCCCCTCCACATTCAGGAATGGTTTCTTCTAGACACATGTTGGAGTGAGGAGAAGCAGTCCTTACAAAGATGGGGAATGGTCTTATGGGCAAAGTGTTAGTGTTAGTCACCTAGTTGTGTCTGACTGTTTGCGACCCCATGGACTATAGCCTGCCAGGCTTCTCTGTCCATGGAATTCTCCAGGCAAGAAGAATACTATTCCTTCTCCAGGGGATCTTCCTGACCCAGAGATGGAACCCAGGTCTACCGCGTTGCAGGCAAATTCTTTACTGTCTGAGCCACTGAGGGAAGCCCCAATACCTACTCTTCGTGACCGCATGGCCTATAACCCACCAGGCTCCTCTGTCCATGGAATTCTCTGGGCAAGAGTACTTACGGGGAAATAGAACAGTGAATGTGGGGAGAGGGGGTGGAGGAGGGGTTTGTACCTTCCGTAAATGGTTGTTGAAAGGTATTTCTTTGAGCTAGACTGAGGCAATGGAATTGCCTCCTTGGATTCTGGTAAAAGGCATAATGAGAATAATAAGATTCTGTTAGCCAAACTGGTGGCCCTCTGCTCTCCCTGACCATGCTACATAAGTGAGAAATGAAGGCATCACAAGGAAAGGCACCATTTGAAATTGAAAGATACCCAGAAGTTTGTTGGATGGAGAAGAGGAAGGCAGGAGATACATTTTCAGGGAGGAGAAGCAGCACTTACAAAGGTGAAGCGGGGAATGAGCAGGGTTTTAGGGGGAGGGATGAAGAGTCTGCAGTGGAGGGTGGACGGGAGCAGAGGGAAGGGCTGGGGAAGTGGACCTGAGGCCATTCTGCCGGAGGCCTTGCATGCTAGGTGAAGGAGTCTGGGCTCTCGGCTGTGGGAAATGGGGAGCTATTTGGAGGTCTTAAGCAGGGGAGTGGTGTAGTTAAGAGCCGTGTGTGGGATAAGATATTGCCATGGCTGGGTTTGGAAGATGGACAAGCTGGTGATGCAAGGCAGGGTGCCAAGGACGAGGCCATCCCAATGTGTCTTTAAGGAACAGCTGCCTCAGAGGTGGGTGGCAGAACTCCAGGCTCCACCCTGCCTGCTGGCATCTCTTCTCCCCGTCTCATGCTCAGGCCTTGACCAGGCTGGATCCAGCCATGCCACTTCCCAGCTCTGTGATGTTGGGCAGCTTACCTTTTTCCTGAGCCTCAGTTTCCCCATTTGGAAAATGGGAATGGGGATACCCACCTTGTATGGTAGTTGAGAAGTTGCAGAGTTGAAATGGATGTGATAGGGGGACTTCTGTAGTGGTCTAGTGGTTAAGACTCCAGTGCAGGGGGCCAGGGTTCGATCCATGGTTCAGGGAACTAGATCCTACATGCTGCAATTAAAAGATCCCACGTGCTGCAAATAAGACCTGGCACAGCCAAATAAACAAATAAGAACAAAGTATTTTTTTAAATGAACGTGCTGGCCCCAGACCATTAGACCTCAGACCTGCACGGAGCAGGAGCCCTGCACATGTTGTCATTGTTATTAATGGATGGTTGTTCCTGAGTGTGTTTGCCTGGGAAAAGTTCAAACAGTGAAGACATCAGGAGAAAAACAACCTTCAAATTATGGAAGCTTCTTAGGGCAACTCTGTAACCAGGTCACACTGGCTTCTCCTGAACCCCGAGGTAAAAAAATCCACCAACCCACAAGCCCATGGCTCACTCTCTTCCCAGGAGACTCATGTGTCTAAACTGGAAGATGCCGGAGAGGCTGGCTTCCAAGAACACTTCCCTAGAGGCCAGGCTGGAGTCTCCGGGGACAGTGAGGGCATCGTACTGCCCTTTAGACTGCATCTTGGATTGACCTGTTTGCCAGGCTGACTGCCATGTGTCCCAGTGGAAAAACCCCAGTGTGGAGCCAGGCCATCCCAGGCCTGAAACCTGGAAGTTCTGCAAGTTTAGGAAAGTAGCTTTGCCTCCCTGGGACTCAAGTTTCTCTGTTTGGAAGATGGGAACAATACTGTCCACGGCCAGTGGGGATGGGACTGTTATGAGGATTAAATCAGCTGATACGGGTGGCGTGTGGTCCCATGGCTGTGCCTCCACATTGGAATCAAGAATGTGCATTTACTGAGTCTCTTTGACATATAAGCTCCTTGCCGAGTGTTGGCAATACACAGACAAGCAAGACATGGATCCTGCCTGCAAGAGCAGGCTTGAGATACAGATAAGTGAACAGACCACAAATGATGACAGTCTCTGTTTGGCACTGTTCCTCTCTATAAAAGATGTGTCAGTGTATGATGAATATGATTTTCCGTGGAAATAATGATATCAGTCAGTTCAGTCTCTCAGTTGTGTCCGACCCTTTGCGACCCCGTGGACTGCAGCACACCAGGCTTCCCTGTCCATCACCAACTTTCGGAGCTTGCTCAAATTCATGTCAAATAATGATCTCCTATGAGATAATATTCATGTCTTGGAAGCTGAGGCCCTCTAATTTATTTGAATAAGCATAGAGACTAAAAGTAACTGTCTATAAACATCTCCTTGGAGTAACGATAATGGTGAAAAATACTGTGATAGCAGTATCTCATTTAATCTTTTTAAAAATTTATTTTTAATTGGAGGATAATTGCTTTACAATACTGTGTTGGTTTCTGCCACATATCAACATGAATCAGCCATGGTATACATATGTCTCCTCCCTCGTGAACCTCCCTCCCACCTCCCATCCACCCCACCCGTCTAGGTTGTCGCAGAGCACCAGGTTTGAGCTCCCTGCAAATCCCTACTGGTTATCTATTCTACTTATGATAACGCATAAGTTTCAATGCTACTCCATCAATCTGTCCCACCCTCTATGTCCTCCCACTGTGTCCACAAGCCTGTCCTCCATGTCTGCATCTCATCTGTTGCCCTGCAAATAGGTTCATTGGTCCCATCTTTCTAGATTCCATATATATGTGCTAATGTATGATATTTCTTTTTCTCTTTCTGACTTACTTCACTCTGTATAACAGGTCTAAGTTCATCCACCTCATGAGAACTGATTCAAATACATTCCTTTTTATGACTGAGTAATATTCCATTGTATATATGTGCCACAACTTCTTTATCCATTCATTCTCATTTGATCTTTGAAACAGACAAATAATCTAGTGTGTAGATATTATTTTCCCCACTCTATAGTTGAATAAATGTAAGCTTAAAGAATGAAAAAGAAAGATGACTTGCCTAAGGTCATATAGATCAGAAGATCTGGCTCTAAAACTTAAACCCAGATCCAATCTCTTATCCCTCATCTTTATCACAAAATGCTGCGAGGACCACCCTCTGGAAACGTGTGGCAATCAACAAGCCCAGAGGAACTAGTCAGAAGGGCCTGTCAGTCCACAGATATTAAGAGCATCTGTGACATGCCAGGCTTGCTCTCTGCACAGGATAATTCCTGCTCTTGTGGAGCTTACAGCCCAGTGGGTAAGACAGCCATGCAATAAACAGTACAATGGATGCTCTTAAGAGATTCTCTGTACTCCGGCTTATAACCAATACACTGAGTATAGCGATGCTTGTTCTGCCTTCTGCAGAATGTCCTGACT